AATAAATAAAAAAATTGTGGGTGATAAAATAATTTTTAAATATTTAATTTATAAACTAAAAATTTGTGCCCTTTTCCCAGTTTTTTTCTTCAAAATCTTCATTTTCTTCTTTCACAAATTTCCTATAAAAATATAAAATAAATTGGTTATATAATGTTACTTTTGGTCGATGATTGCAGATTTTTTCTCATAAAAATCTTATTTATGGGATTTTCAAAAATATTATAAATACAATGTGCCAGATTCCAGATTCATAAAAATTGAAAAAAATTAAAATTTCTATATGAAAACGGGCATAATTCCAACAATAAACCCGTAATTGTCGACTCATAACACCCCTAATTTATTAGAGATGTCCAAGACTCTTGGTCTAAAAACCACTTTTCTTGGGTTTTTTCGATCTTGGTCTTAGAATGTAGTCTAGGTCTTGGACTCGAGTCTTGGAAAATTTTCGGTCTTGGACAGCTCTATAATTTATAATATTAAACATATATACATATTTTTAATGGTAACGAGGATCTTTTTGTTTTCCTTTGCCTTTTGATTGTGTCGAAGATTGTCCTTTTGACTGGATTGTAGAATATTCTTGATTTTGAGAAGGATCTTAATTAAATTTACAATTTATTTAAAAACTTTAAATTATTTTACTTTGATAAAAATTATGTGGAATATTCTGTCTAGATTCCAACATTGCTTGTCTCAATTGTCTTTGATATTCTTTAAAAATTAATTATTTTAAATTTTAAAGGGTCTTCTTTACCTTTTTCAGATGTACTATAAGGATTTGGAGGATTACCAGAAGAATAGGTAATAGTAAATCCTTCAGAAGGGTCATAACCATATTCTTGTTCTTAAACTTTAGTTAAATAATTTAAAAAAACAAATTACCTTTATAAAGAAAAGTCTGAGGTAATGATTGTAATTCAAGTTGTTGTTTTTGTTTTATATTTTTGACGGTAGCTTAATTAAAATAATTTAAATTAAAAAGCTACGTAAAATTTTTATAGATTTGCTAATTATGAATTAATTCCTTAGTTAGCGATTAAAAAATATTAGCTACCCTCTTCAAAATTTTTTTGATGTTGTTTACTTCTAATGTGTGCTAATAGATAAGATCTGATGTTTAGAGCAAGCTAAAATATTTTAAAAAACTAATAAAAAATTCAATAATATTAAAAACCCCCGAATTGCATAATGTACATTTCGCTTTTTTACCCTCAAATTTGAAATATTGCTCATTTTCGTTAAATAAATTTTCAGTTGATTTCAGTACTTCTTCTTTGTCTAATTATTTTAATTTAATTATCGAAACAAAAAATATTAATAAAAACATTACTTGTAATATTTTGTAGATGTTTGTCTGTATCTAGATGTTTAGTAATATGAATTTCTAATGTTGGGCTTAACTTAAATATCTAATATGTTTTATTAATTTATTAAAAAATTTACTGGAGTTTTACAAACATTACAAATAACTTTATTTGTATTTTCTTGTATTGTAAAATTATCTGTTTGGCCAACTTTTTTTAACATATTTTCCAAAACTTTTTTGTTTTCTAAATATAGTATGTATATCAAATTTTAATTACGTATAAAATTACCTTCACTTTCATACCCTCCGTGGAATGTGTTATAATGATTTTTAATTTTATTATATGCCATATAATTCCAACCAGCATAATTTTTCTTAACAACAATTTTATCACATTTATTACATTTAACATAACAACAATCATCTCCATCATTAACTACTTTAAATATTTCCGAATTTGTATTAAATTCTTTAATATAGTTGTTAAATACTTCAAATCGACCTAGAATAATTACATTTTTAATGTTTTGATTAATATTTTCAAAGAAATTTGGAGGTACTTCTCTTATAAAAAAGTATTTTCTCGAAAAATAGCTTGGATAAAAATAGCTTGCTTAGATATTTTCTCGAAAAAATCTCGACTTTCGAAAAAGCTTTTTGTAATAATAAATATTTGCTTAAAATTAAGTTTATAAGAAAATTTTAAATTTAAGTCAATTTTCTCGAGAGTTTTAAGCAAATTCCACCCTAGAAAGGTTAGCAGACAAATTTTATATTTTAAGTTTTTTGCTAAATTAACATAGGTAGATATTATAAATAATTATAACAAGAAGTATATACACTTATTTTCTGTTGGTTGCGAAGAAGGATTTTCAGGCTTATCTTCTGTTCTCGTCACTGACTCTTGATTGTGAGTTTGTGGAGGCAATGGTGTTGGGAATTGATGCGTTGTTGAAAATTGGCCCAAATCATATCCAAGAGTGTCGAAATCATCAAGAGGTATAACAGATGGATACATTGTGTGGTAATGAAAGGGATTATCCCCAACAAGTGATTGTGGGTCTTGCAATTCATTTGAAATTGGTTGTGTGTGTGAAGATTCATGAACAGAAGTAGGTTCAAAAGAAGAAACTGCTGTAATGTTTGGGTGATTTGTTCCATCTCCAATACCACTCGTTCCTTGATTTATATTTCTTCCCCTTTTTGATGAACTACTACTACCCTTTCCTCTTTTATTTGAACTTCCTTCTCCAATATTTTTTGTAAAATAAATTAAAACAAAAAATAGAAAAATAATTTTAATTTTCATTTTTCTAATCTATAAATTTACAAAAAAATATTTTTGATTTATCTTTTAATGGAAGATGAGTTTGTGATAAATGTTTAATTTTTGGCAAATATTAATTTAAAGGGGTGTGAAAAGTTCCTATTTAACTCGAACTCTGGAATAAATTATTGAAAGAATCATACTTATAGTTAGGGCCACCAAATGCAAATAAAAAATAGTAAAGGGCTTTTTAAATTAATGAAAAAATATAACAATGAATACACTTATAGGATACTTTAATTTTGAGCGTAAGGATCTTAAATGATTTTTTCTAACATCTTCTAATCAGATTCAAATTTAATTTACTCGTAGAAAAAGGTTAAAATGAAGAAGAGTATGGAGGAAAATTTTTAGAAAAATTAAAAATAAAATAAGTGAAGATTTAAAATAAAAACGAGTATTTATTTGGTTGATAAATACTCGATTGAAAAGGCGGACCAATATCTTTAATATTATGAGATGGATGGGATGTGTGCGTTGAGAGAATCTGTGAATTAAAAAATCTATTTTTTTAGTGCAAAATAAATTTCAAAATTAGGTCTCGTAAATTAATCGAGGGTTTTTAAATTTAAAATTTAGATTAGAAATTCAGATTCAAAATATGCAATTTTGAAGGATATTTAAAATTAAATTTTCTTAGAAACTCGAGATTAGACATTTAAAATAGACACTTAATTTTTTAACTATTAGGTTCTAGTATTTTCGATTTTGCCTGATATCCATGATATCCCTCAAATCACTATCTTCTAAACCCTTATATTACAAAATAAATACTGTACTCGTTGACATTTAGTGATTCGTAAAGGGGAAATGGCCAATAACTTTATAAAAATAGTTTTTCACATTTTTGCGTCTCTTGTGTTTTTTTGGCCTTGCGCTGAGTTCTGTGTTTTTGCAATTATTCTTGGGCTCGTTCCTTTTCCAAATCTTGTTTAAAAATTTTAAGTCTGTAAATAGATAGATAATTTGGGTTTTTCATTATTAATAAAATTATCTATACGTGTTTTAATATGGATAGGGAATGCAGTCAAAATGAGATAAAAAATAAGAATAAATTGATTTATTAGTTTAATTATCAATGACCAAAAATGCAAAAAAAATTTTTAAATTAATTTAAATATTTCTTTAAACAATATTTTAAAAATTAAATACGTTAAATGCTCCAACATAAGCCCGACTCTATTAGAAGCCTAGATCGAGGAGATCGAAAAATATAAGCCTAGTCTTTAATAGAAGACTACTTTAACGATATCTCATCTAAATTAATTGAATTAAATTAACTTCGAAGGATATTTGTTGACTGGAAGGATATAGAACGATATCCGGGATTTGGAGGGATATCTTTGATTTTGAGGAGATTTGTAGAAATATAAAAGTGATTTGGAGGAATATCTGGTACTTTGTTCTAGAGATCTGTCAAGAGTCTGATCCACTCTAGATTTTTTTCCATGCATTTTTCATCTTCCTGCATTTTTCTGGATCTGAAATTTTTTGTACCAGATCCAGAATCTAGTCCAGTCAATATCCTAACTCTAAAGTCCAGATCCAGTCGAATTTTTACTGGATTTCCTGGATTAAATTTGGTTCCCCCATCTTTTGTCGATGGACATTGCGTCAATTACAATATAGGGAACGCACTAACCGGACACAGTCCCAAATCTGGCATAAAAATTTGTCGAGTTCATTTAGCCGGACCAGATCTGGACCGATTTTTCTGGCTTAATCCGCTCCGAAAAAATTCGGAGATCTACACGTCGTCTCATCCCAAATAACAATTTAAATTTTATGATAATTATTTTTTTTACTTTTTTAGATTTTTAAAATTGGGATTTGCTAATATTAGAACCTCGTTCTATTTTGTATAATTTGTTTATTTATTTGTAAATTAATTTATTTAAAATTAAATTTAATTAATTTGCCCTTTTAATATTTGTTTTTAATTTTTATATGAAAATGCACTTAAGTATATGTAATTACTAAATCAGACATTAAAGGAGAGCGCATTTTTGTGTTTTACTCAAAAAATTGTTTTTATAAAAATCCATGAAATAATTTACTTTAATATGTAAATAAATTTTGAAATACTAAATTTTTTTGTCTGAGTTAATAATATTTTAAATATGTACTTTTTATTTTCACTATTATTTAATATAAATAAATTTTTATCTCAGCTTTGTAAATTTATTTAATTTTAAAAATATTTAACTAATTAATATTCTAGTAATAACCTTTTTAAAATACTTATTTGAATAAAACCCTTGTGCGGGACTTTTAAGGATTTAATTCAAGCCTTGATTGCACCCTTTGATATAAAATCTCCAAATTATTTTGCTTAACATTTAAAATAAAATTTTATAGTGAATGTGGTTATTAAATATATTAATATTCATTTTATTAATAAATGAAGCTGAAAATGTAAAAGGGAAATTACCTGATTTAGAAAGATGGAATAATTATGTTGAAAGATTGGGGGAGGTTGATTCAAAGAATTATATTGTGGATGAAAATGGAGTTTATTGTAAAGTTTGTGACAAAGATTATGTCAGAAGATTATATTTTTATTTAATATTTGATAGTTAAATTTTAGTTTAAACCATTAAGATTTCATAACGTTAAAAACAATCACAATAATGGGCCAATCCATCGAAGAAATTTGAGTAGGATATTTTTAGATAATAATCATAATATTAAAAAATAATATAAATTTAAAAAAAAAATAAAATTTTTTGAAATATTCAATAGGAGACAAAGGGTTACTGAATAATGAAATATCTGTTCCAAGGAAGAATGAAACAAATCCGGTAATTAATTTTAAACCAAATATACCTATATTTATTTAAGGAAAATAATCCTCAAAACATTAATCAACAAAATGAATCAAACAAAACATCGGAAAATATGGCTTGGCAATATCGTGAGTTAATTATTGTAAATATGGTTGAATCAAGTCAGAAACAATGATTGGATGTTCGATTCGTACTCGTACCTCATACGTATTATGTACGAAGCAATAATGTCAAGAAAATTAAAATGCTGAAAGTACGAGGCCAACACGTGGGTGACATGAGTAAAATTAGTTTCTCGTACTTGGTGTAATAGAAAATTGGAATAAATATCTAGGGCTGTTTTTAGGAGAAAACTTTAAGAATTTTGTTGCTAACTTATCTCTTAACTTAAATAAATTTAATAAATTTTAGAAGTAAACCCATCATTCTCAACTCAAGATACACATACTGAAGATTTACAAATCACAGAAAATCCACTTATGGAAAAAGAAACCTTTCCTGAAGTAGCATCGTCTTCACACCTACGCGATGTTGATCCATTAGCGAATAATAATTTTTTAGCCATACAGGTGAGTAAATATTAAAATTTGAACTTTTCAACTCAGTATCGCGGGTTTGTTCTTTACTCCACCATGATTCCTGGGTTAGGACTAGAGCCCGGACTGGAGATTGATATCTCGAAAAATATCTCTTGATACTGAGTTTTTTATCCGAGATATAGTCTTGGCCCAGCCATAGTTAAAACCCTGAAACCCTGGAAATAGGATTTTTTACATGGGCTCGGACATGGCTGTTTGAATTTTTATTAAATATCCTCCTTTATAAAAACAGAAATCCTTCCTATTAACTCTCTAGAGAAAGTAGTGGAACGTTCGGGGATAAGACGAGATTCGAGAAAAATTTATTACTGAGATTCTAATTCATATATCGAAACATGAATTAAATAAATATATACATATATATGTAATTAAATTGTTTCTAGCGTCAAATTCTGAAGGGTATAAAATTCAAAGTATCGACAAATGTTGATGAAAATCAAGGAGGGTTTCATTTAAGTTTATTTTAAAATGAATTAAAATAATTTTAAAATTAAAAAAAAGGTTCTTTGTCCAAACAGCAAATTTCCGACAATATTCGTGAAGAGAAAATTAACAAATTATCTTTAGAGTTACGAGAATGTGTGGTAAAGAAAAAACGTGAATTTGAACAGGTTGTCAAAATAAATAAAGAGAATATTTAATTAAAAATAATTTAAGAGTTATCGAAATGACTGTGAAACTTTTGGATTTGTTACTCAAAAACTTGTTGAAAAGGACAAAACTTTGGAGGGTTAAAAATTAAATTTGGTTAAATTTATTAAATATTTTTACAGATCGTTTGAAAGTTGCTCTTTTGGAAACTATGAAAGATTTACAAAGTGAAACAATGAAGAAATTTGATGAATTTCTTGATCAGATTTATAGTTTCAATTGCAATTGAAACAAAAAGAAATTTTTTATGAATTTAAAATTTTTTAAAATTTATATACTATTATGTATGTTATATTAACATATCTTTCCTATTTAAACACCTTTTCACACTTTCTTATAGCTATTAAGTATGGTTGTGCACGACCGATTAGTAAACGATACCACCGGTTTTCGGTTAATCCAAATTTGAAAAACCCGGTTTTGAGTTTTGAACAGATAACAGTTTTATGTATTTTGGAGGTATTTTTAATAAAATCATTCATTTTCAGAAGTTTCCGGTTTTGTAAATTTTGAAAACCGGTTAATTTTTGGCAAAAAATATCAAAATTTTCGGGTTTAAAACCAGTCATGCACAACCCTACTATTAAGTTATCTTGGTTATTTTAAAGATATCTTCTGTCAGAACTTTAAATTTTGGTGTCACTTCTCTCTTGTTTTAAATCTTTAGGTAATTCTGATATTACAGTAGACTCTTACAAATTCTTTCCGAAAAAAACAGTAATCTAAATTTTTTTATTATACTAATTTTAAAAGAAATAAAATAAAATTAAAAGTTTTTTAAATAAATTTGTTAATTTAATAAGTTCCTTTAATTTACTAAAAATTTCTCCGTATCATCCACAAGCTTGTAATCCACAAGCTTTTTTTTTCATCCACAAGCTTGTAATCCACAAGCTTTTTTTTTCATCCACAAGCTTGTAATCCACAAGCTTTTTTTTTCATCCACAAGCTTTTTTTGAAATTTTAAAACCGGAAATATTTAATTGGAACAAAATCTAACCATAGTCCAAATTAAGATTTACTCAATTATACATATATATTCTACTAGAATATTTGAGAATATTTACATCTACCGAGTTTATAATATACAATTTAAAAATTATCTAAATTTGGAGGGATATGTGTTAAACACGTCAAAAATATTTGCATCGTTAATCACTCATAACATCTTTACTTCCTTCTCTTCAACCTGCCCCTGTCTCGGGCCATCAGCTACAAGTTGTAGAAGATGGATACGATTAAAGCCAATCCCACCATCTTGAGTTGAGGCAATTGGGGCTGATGAACTTCCTCCTAATTAAATTATAAGGATATTAGCTTAAATCGAAGGCGAATTCAATTAACAAAAATTAAATTAGGAATGGAAAAATCTAAAAAAGATTTTGTCCTTCTTATTTTAAAAATCCAAACAAATACCAAGTCTATCAGCAAGAAATGAAAGAAGTAAACGCCAAGCATGTACAGTTTCACGTCTTTGTCTACCAGTAATTGTTGCTGATTGACAAATAGATTCAGCTAAAGCCTCCCCCATAAAATCCCAATGTGAACGCCTAAGATTTTTAATAAAATTTTTAAAATTAAAAGTAAATTCCCCCCACTTTACACGAAATTGAGCATGTTCCCTTCCAACCATCTCTAACCAATTACTTAAAATTTTATCGGGTTCTGACAATCCATCTACTGCCCATTGAGCTAATTCAGTAAAATAACGTTCATGACGCGAAATAGCTAATGGATCTGATGGATTGAAAAGACGTTCAATGGACGGGCATTTCTCTAAAAATTCTGAATTTAAAATTGATATTTAAAAATTACACAAACCAAGCATTTTCTCATAAACTGTGCTTCCAAAAGTTGATTTTTGAATTCTAGACCACGACTTTCTGTTAATAAAAAATGATAAAATAAATTTTCGGTCGATATACCCTAAAAGCTTACTGTCCCTCCCTTAAATAATTATCCTGCCTCTATTAATTCCTATTAATTCCCCCTGCAGCGAGAGATCGAAACAATAACTACACAGGCTAATTATCTTTAGTAAATACGGTTATATCATTCGAAAGTGCGAGGTGGGCATGTCTGCTGGATTTCTCCACAGCGGCAAAATCTGTTTCGCGGAGACTTAATCTAAGGGGTCTTTCCTTTGTCAAAACTTGTTCAATCACGTTAAGTTTGGTGTTATTCGACTCAGTTCTGAGTGTTGTTTCGAATGACATACCTATTGGACTAAGTGGGAGTCCGTTACTTATCTTGAATCAAAAATTGTTCTTAATTTTGATATCCGAGAAAATATTATTTCCTAGATCAATTTAATTGTGTTGCCGATTATCTTTTGCTTTCTAAAAATATTAAAACGAAACCTTTTGGTCAAAAAATCGGCGATGAATGGAAAATTCAACAAGGGATTTTAGAAAGTGTAGAGGATATTAAAATAAATAAAAAAGAAATGGAAAAAATTATGGGGGTTAAATACACAAATGAATGTTTTAAGCTGAATGGATTGGTTAATAAAGACGAGAAAGTTTTGGAAGTTAAAAATATTTTGAATAAAATGGAAAATAAATATTTAATTTTATCTGAAAATTATCAAAAGAAATTGGGTAAATTTTAATTTAAAAAATTAATTTAATGAGGCAAAATTCTGTCATACGTCCCGGAAACCGATTTGGACAAAAGATATGTCATTCGAAAGAGCTCGGCGAGTTGAGTTAAATGACACCAAAATTAGCTTCGGGACTGACCCATCGAGTGACATATCGTTTGTCCGAATCGGTTTCAGGGACATATGACGGAATTTTCCCTATAATTTTAAAGAAAAACAATCTTCTTGTTTGGCATTTTTTCTCTTAAAAATATTCGGATTTAACAAAGAATATTTAATTGAATACGAAGCACCAAAGGAGATATCTAACCAGATTGATGCAATATATAATCATTATAAACTTCCAATTAAGGAGCTTAATAAAGTTTATAGATGGGATAATTAACCCGAAGAATTAAGTTATGAGGACGTGAATTTTAAGGAAAATACAAAAGAATATAAAGAATTAAATAAATGCAATGAAATTCTTAACACAAAAACTAAGCAAGAATTTTAATTTTGAAATTATAAAAAAAAATTTCTTTAAATTTTAGAATCAAAAATCTTTTTTCAAAGATATACAGTCATTTCTTTAAAAAGAACTAGTGATGGGTTTAACCACTGGGGTATATATCAGGACACTCTGGCGGTAAGTTTTTTCGGGGGGAGCCTTTGGAACCATACTTTTTGGTTTTGGAAAGCCTGACGGCTTTGGGGCGCGCTTCGCGCGCTGCTAGAGCTTTGGGGCGCGTCCAGGGACGCGCGTGGAAAGCCTGCGGCTTTAAAAGTACGCTAGATTTTCTTTTTTGCTTGGAGATTTACGTAAAATATATATAGATTGTTTGCTTTGCATTTTGGGGGGCCTTCGGCCCCCAAAAGCACCGTTTTTGAGCCTTTTTTAAGCAATGAAGCATTTGGCAACTGTGGTGGATTATCTCGAAGCGTTTGGGGGGCCTCCGGCCCCCCAAACCCACCGTTTAGACGGATACTTTGCCTTTAAGTAGCTTTGGTGGGTTGACTCGGGGCGTTTGGGGGGCCTCCGGCCCCCCAAACCCACCGTTTAGACGGATACTTTGCCTATAAGTAGCTTTGGTGGGTTGACTCGGGGCGTTTGGGGGGCCTTCGGCCCCCCAAACCCTGAGTTTAGACGGATACTTTGCCTTTAAGTAGCTTTGGTGGGTTGACTCGGGGCGTTTGGGGGGCCTTCGGCCCCCCAAACCCTGAGTTTAGACGGATACTTTGCCTTTAAGTAGCTTTGGTGGGTTGACTCGGGGCGTTTGGGGGGCCTTCGGCCCCCCAAACCCACCGTTTAGACGGATACTTTGCCTTTAAGTAGCTTTGGTGGGTTGACTCGGGGCGTTTGGGGGGCCTCCGGCCCCCCAAACCCACCGTTTAGACGGATACTTTGCCTATAAGTAGCTTTGGTGGGTTGACTCGGGGCGTTTGGGGGGCCTATAATTTTAAAGAAAAACAATCTTCTTGTTTGGCATTTTTTCTCTTAAAAATATTCGGATTTAACAAAGAATATTTAATTGAATACGAAGCACCAAAGGAGATATCTAACCAGATTGATGCAATATATAATCATTATAAACTTCCAATTAAAGAGCTTAATAAAGTTTATAGATGGGATAATTTACCCGAAGAATTTAGTTATGAGGACGTGAATTTTAAGGAAAATACAAAAGAATATAAAGAATTAAATAAATGCAATGAAATTCTTAACACAAAAACTAAGCAAGAATTTTAATTTTGAAATTATAAAAAAAAATTTCTTTAAATTTTAGAATCAAAAATCTTTTTTCAAAGATATACAGTCATTTCTTTAAAAAGAATTTCTTTTTAAACAAAATTCCAAAAATTGGTGATTGTAAGTGGAAATTAATTGACATTAATTAATTTTTTAAAAATATAGCTGTAAATATAGAGGAAGAAGGTGTTGAATGTGTTGTTTGTTCTACAGAATTTGAAATTGGAGAATCTGCACAAGAATTAGAATGCGGGGTCCGTTAAAGTTTTTAAATATTTTTTTGTTTAATTTTGTCCACCGTTTATTCCTGTTTGTTTAGACGAGCTTGTCTAACAGGATAAAAGGAACCATTAAAAATACAAAAGAATATAAAGTTAGTCGATGTCCCATTAGTCGGTGCCCCAATTAGTCGGTGCCCAAGTGGTAGAGCTCCTGTATATGGTGAGCGAAAGCTCCTATCAATAACTTTCAGGAGGTTGCAGGTTTAATCCTGCTCGGTGGCTAGGCTTTTGCTAAGCTCTTTTTTTTGTTATTTTCTAACTGTCATGTTGTCGTTTATTCAATTACTGTCCTAACTAAATTTACTCTAAATTATTTTAGCACAAATTTCATGAATTTTGCATTATAAAATGGTAATAATAATTATTTTGTATTTAAATTAATTTAAATTAAAAAGGTTTTATACAAAAGAAGCGGATGAGATCGGTTCTTTTAAAGTATTTTTATATTAATAACAAAATATTTAAATAATAAATTTAACAGAATACAAAAGCTTGCCCACTTTGTCGAAAACAAATAAGAATTGAAGAAACAAACAACCCATAAAAGTAAAGAAAATTTTAAAGTTTTAAAACTTTTAAAATATTTAGAAAGGGATATTAACTTTTGACTCTATTTTAAGGAAAAATGCTTTTCTTATAAGCAAAATTGCAGTTAAGGCATCGAGATCTTACCGAGTCTGAAAATCGCTTGTTTATACATATCTATCTATATATTTATCTAAAATAACCGTTAAAGAATAATTTTAATTAAGTTAAAAATATCTAAATTTACTCAAAAATTTAAAAATTTTTGAAAAATGATTAGATTAAGGGACCGGATCAAGACGAGATCTCGATCAAAAATCCGAGTTTATTGAGATTTATCGAGATCTCGATTCTCGTAGGCCCCTTCCAGTCCGATCTTTAATTAGAATAATATAATAATTTCAGTTTTTTAAGGAGAAAGTGATTGAAGTTTGCCTAAAAATGTACATATTTACATAATGTTTTAAAATGTTTATATTTTAAATGGAAGGCCGAAGTTTTTACGTTTTCATCGTTCTAGAATTCGAACAAAGAGATGAAATTAATGTTTTATTTTATATATGTAAACTTGTACTATTTATACATATATTATAAAGTTTTTTTTCAATGTGATAAATTTACTAAACATTTTATATACTAATCCTAACTCTTCTAATTGATAGTCACTTTTTAGGTCCTAGATATAAAATGCCGTATTTTCTCTAAAAGGACTGAATTCCGCTATATTTTTTAATCCCTCACACAAAGGCCATTATTATTGGAAAAACTGAGATTTTTAATTTTAATTAGATTTTTAAAAATCATCCAATAATTCTTACGATTATTGAATGTTATCTTTTTAATGTTTTTAACTTAATTAAAATTTAAAACTATAAGAAAAGCTGTATTTAATTTTTTAATTTTTAAAAGCTAATTTTTTAAAAATCTAATCAACCTGGAAAAAGTTTTTTATAAATAAAATTTTCGGTACTATTTATCAATCAAAACTCCAACGAGTCATTGTTTGGAAGTCAGTCCTGAATCAAATCAATCTCCCTATTAACTCAATCATTTCTAAAAAATTACTCTTTTCTTAAACTATCAAATATTATTGGAATTTTTAAAAAATTACAGGATAATTTTGATTTATTTTCACCCATAAACTTCAGTAAAAACCTAAATAAAGAATTGGTTGTTGAATGGTTGAGCGATTAATAATCAATGCTTATGATAGCTCCCAGGATCCCAACAAATCTTTTGCTATCTTCTAAGATAGATTTGGCCGCTTTTCTATATAGTTTTAAATTTTGAGTAAGTTGAAACACATTTAAAAGAAACACCCAATAATCACAAGAATGAGTCTACCGAACAATCTTTATTACTTTAATAAAAATTTTGTTGCATAGTATTGGCATAGAAAGGTTTGGATATCTGATATAAAGCTTTTCCGGTGTTGGTTTTGGATGAAGTGTTGGGCTTTGGCACTTAATTAAGACTTTGTTAAGACTTCATTACACGCCAAAATAGTGAAGAAACTTTTATTTTCACATCACATTTTTTTCCGTTTCCACTTCCGCGTTCAGAATATTTTAACAAATATTTCCTTTTAAATTAATTCTTAATTAAAATAAATTTACATACATACGATCATTAAATCAATAATTAAATTTTAATTCCCCATTCAATCGTCTATGTTAGACAGGCCTTTTGTTAAATAGAATAATGCCCTTAAATATTTAATTAATCAAAATTTAAATTAAATTTTAAAGAAGCTTTCCATTATTTAATTTTTAAATAGAAAAAAATGAGATTAAAATATAAAATTATATTATTTTATATTTTAATTAAATGTTTAAATTCTAAAATAAATTCCAAAAAAATTAATTGTATTGCCGATTATCTTTTGATTGGAGAAAATATTCAAACAGAAATTTTTGCAAAGAAAAATTGGAAAGAATGGAAAATTCAACGAGGAATTTCAGAAAATATTTCCAAAAATATTAAAATAAATAAAAATAAAATGAAAAAAATTATGGGGGCTAAATACACAAATGAATGTTTTAAATTAAA